CTACAGAAATAATTAATTCTGATTGGTTAGAATCTATGTAAATCATATGATATCATATGATCTGCATAATTCGCAACATGATTACTATTAAAAATAATCTACATTACACTCTATCTTTAAATACGATGCACCATATGTGGGGTATAGTAGCCAATATCAGTGCGATAACCAAGGTTGGGCATCTTTAAGAGACAGCCGGCTTTTAGTCTAATACCCTATTAAATAGCTTGGTCTTGTATTAAGCATTATACATTTAATAAAATTTTAGTATGCGGTTATCAAAAGAAAAAAAAAACATATATATAATATATATCTAGATCTGTACTACTCTGTGTATTAACACTTAACTACCTAAAATAAACAAAGCAGTTACTGTTTAAAAAAAAAATAATAATTTTTTTTAACATGGTTAATTGTTTTGTCAAAAAAAATTTTTGTTGTAAATTTGGTATAAATTATTAATAAAAAAAATAATAAAAAATTTAAATATCAAAATTAGCTAATATAACTTTATATTTTTAATAATTTTTGTATTTGTAAAAAATAATACTTGTATTAAATTAAAAAATATATAAAATTTTTTTTAAAAAAAATTTTATAATAAAAATTTATAAATAAAATATTATATATATATAAAATATACTTGTTTAAAAATAAAATACAGATTAGAAAATAAATATAGTAATTTGTATTTATAATAAAATATACAATACTTAATTATCAAAATTAGGCTGTATCTGGTATTAGCAAAATTTTAAATTAAAAAATTAATATTCTGTAATGCTTTAAGAATTTATACGTAGTGAGCTTTTTTTTTAATAATATGTAGTCGCCACTTTGCTGTAATCACGTGAACAGTCAAGATAAAGATAAAGATATTGTTCATGGGCAAATCTTATATATAACAATAATGAATGACACGTATAAATATATTATTTATCCTATAAAGTATACACAATTTTCAGTTTGTGTGGCGCAAAATTTGGTTCTTTTTTTTTTACTTTTCTGCTAGACAATATCCCAGGAGGGTTTTATCGGAAACGTTGCTGCATAATTTGCAGCATAACTTGGCCACTAGAGCTTGGGAATAGTCAAGAAGACACCAGCTGTACGAATTCGTAAGTTCCACTTAGAAAAATAAGGATCCCGATGTACCCATATGTTGTAAAGCTCTTCATATAATCAAAGAAAAATTTCTAAATCTGTAGGTACCTCTAAAAGTTTATACTACCGACAATAAACCTTGTACAGCTTTATAAAACTAAATATTTGGCAGCAGTTATTTATATCTACTTGTCGGTCTACTTGTAAATATATAACTTTGTCTTGCAACCTCACATATATATATATATATACTGTATATTAAAGAAAAAAAAAAAATTACGACTTTATAATCTAAAATCAAATACTTCACTTTATTGCCTCAGTAGGAAAATATGGGACAGAACTTTTCCTCTTCAACAAACAACCAAGATCAAGATGGAGATGTTATAATGGTTGACGATTCAGAAACGAATGTTGAGGATGCTAATGGTTCGGAATACACACATAATAGTCAAAATGGTACAACGTCTTTACGGCGGCCACGTCCACATTCCAACGTAGTCGTTTCTGAAGATCGGACTCAACTTCAACAATCCTCAACTTTATCCCAAAATGGCTCTCCCAGGGTTTTGCGCATGACACCGGCTAGACGCAGGCGACAGCTTTCCAGCCTTTATCCATTTTTTCCTTCTGCAACAACCACTAATCAAACACAGGTTCCGCTCAGCAGACCACTTACCCGTCTTCAACGACTTCATCACAATTCAGTCGATGATGTGTCGTTAACACCCAGACAAACCGATACAATAGCTCCCAATATGTTACGACGAAGTCGCACAAGATCATCTAGCTATAATGGACATGATACTGATACAATGAATGGGTTAGAAGTTAATAATTCTAGCAATCGCCATTCATTGCCGACGGTAGAAACAGTGTTTGACGTGCGGCGTCCTCGTTCTAATTCAGTGGATGTGATTCTAAATAGCAATTTGGGTGATGATATAATGAGATCAAATCTTCGTATCTCTGATCGCCCACGTCGATCTAGCACCAATCGAGGATCATCATCTCGTCCATATTCATCGTATACAACATCATTATCTAATGCATCTGATGCTAGTTCAAATTCATCCACCGCTGGTACTCAAACAGATTCTTCGACAGCATCTCCCCAACGTTTGAGACGAAGATTAACTCGAATTTCTGCACGAAGATTATTTAATGTGGGGGGACCTGATTCTGAAAGCAATAATGTTAATAATAATAACGAGGATAATGATGCAGAAAACCAGGTTTTGGGCCGCTTATTATCTATGGCAGCGGCAGCAACAGCGAGATCACTTGTTGAAAGTCAGGAAAATGCAGTAATTGAAGCCGAACGCGCAGCCAGTGAGGGGCATGATGGAAGCTTCGAAAGTTTTTTAGCTGCTTTGCAGAGAAGACGCCGTGAAGCTTCTAACAGACCTCCAAACCAAACAACGTCATCGTCAACATCTGAAGAACAAGTTTCATCTGATGGAAATACACCTAATCCACAGTCATCTCAGCCAATGTCATTTTTCCGCTTGTTTCGATTTGGTGGGCCTCGTGCTTCTTCATCACAACAAAACTCATCTACTGAAACTACATCAGATCAATCTTCATCCACAACAGTAAACGAATCTCCTAATAATGAAAATAATGGACCACATATGGTTCCTGTTATCATTATTGGCATCCGAAGTGTTCCTCCCAGAGAAGATCCTACTAGTAACCTTCCGCCGCAACAGCCCGAAATCAACAACTCGACAACTGACACACGGAATTCGCCTGGAAACCGATCTACCAGGACTCGATCCTCTTCAACAACTTCGAATAGAACTGTGTCTGGGTCTACCGCATCTACTGGAACTCAAACACCTCCTGCGCGATCATGGATCATTTACGTTTTAGGTGGTACATATCCTTCTACCCATCCTCTCCTAACTACTCCATCGTTATTTTCTGATAATCCCACTTATGAAGATATGGTGTTGTTATCGTCTCTTATTGGCCCAGCTCGACCTCCGACTACTACGCAAAGTGAAATAGATGCCAACTTACCTGTCGCATTATATAATGAAAGCATTCGTGGTCTTAGCGAATATACTCTTTTAGGAAATGCCGAAAAGTGCCAGGTCTGTTTATGTGATTACGTTACAGATGAAGAAGTAAGAGTTCTAAATTGTCGACACGGGTTTCATCGGGAATGCATTGACAAGGTTAGTTAAAAAACAAGTTTTTTTTTTGATTCATGTTTGTCAGAATATAATTTCTGATTTTTTTTTTTTTTAGTGGCTAACTGAAGGGTCTAATAAATGTCCTATCTGCCGAGGCATAGGTGTTCCATCTCGTGAAAATGAAGTCAACAATAATAACGCTATTCCAACTACATCTGGATTAGGTCCCATGGGACCTTTCTTTTAGGATAGTTTCTGACAAAAATTCGTCTTTTCGTGCGAACATCTGCAGTTGTCTTGACTATTTTGTGTGTGTATGGTTATTCAGATTTTGCTTTCAGGACATTTATGAGAATATTTGAACCTCATTTTGTATATTGTGATTAACATCATTATTTCAACGGGACTGGTGGTATAAAAATTTAACACGTTTTTTTATGATTGATAGCATTGACTGTATGGACTATATCCTTAGGCCTATTATTCCTTTTTCCACAAAAGTTTGTAGGTCAATTCTTTGATTTCTATATTTGTATATTTTTTTTATATGCGAGTTGCACTTTGCAATTTTGTAGTTTTCATCAAAAAAAAAAAAAAAATTTAAAATAATCGCGGTGAAAAAAAAAAATGCATATAAATATCACAGCTCGTCCTTATAACTTCACAATTTTATACATATATACCATAATAGGTATGATTTTTATGAATATTAAAATACTACTCTAAATTATCGATTTTTCACGAAATTACCCTGACCATAATTATTTCAACACAGATTTAGTAATCATTAATACTGTAATATATATATAGGTAGAAATTAATAGTAAGGATGAGAGTTATGTAAAACATTTTTTTTTTGACTACAAATTGCGAACATAAGTAACTTAGTTTATTATGGAACATCATTGAGGTGGCGAAGAATAACATCAATGTCTTTAGAATCCTTTTTTAATGTTTCAATATCATGAACTATTCCTGTTTGTTCGGTGTCAAGCACCTAAATATTATGAACAAAAATTAAGATGGGTTATTGATGGTTTCAGATAACAAAAAAATGAACCACTTACCTTTATAATATTTTCTAATTGATTATCATTTACTGCATTAAATTTATGAGTCACTGGTGGCTCTCGAACTCCCCATTGTAGTTTTGTTACATTATATTGTGTTTTGAGTGTTTCAAGTTTCCTTGACGACATTTGTAGTTGTTGCTTTATATCTTCTAATCGCCCTTTTAAAGCTTCTTCATCGGATCGAATTAGCGTTCCACTTAATCGCAACACTTGAATTCGTCTCATAAGCTATTAATATAGAACATTAAATTTTTATACTGTAAGCATAACGAATGTCTCAATACCAACCTTAATCACTCTCTGTGTCAACTCAATATGTTTTCGTTTACGATCTTCTATCCTCACTAAAGTTTCTAAATTATGCTTACGCTTCATATCTTCGAGTTTAGCACCATATTCCTATCAAACCTTAGGATTAATAATGCGATTACTTTTTAATGATTGTATTTAAATTTCAAATTACCTAATACCTTAAACTTTATATTGGCTTTAGCTGTTATTTCTTCTTGTACAGCAAGTCGTTTTTTGACATCTTCAAATCCACAGACTCGAACGGGAACCAAACTATTAATAAAAATTACTTGAGTATAATATTAATGTGAAATGATTATGTTGACAATTAGACTTGCATTGTCCTGTCTGGATTATTTGCTTGTGCCTCATTCCAAAGTGCTTGGGGCATGCTGGGGGGTTGGGTATAAAATTGAACTTCAGCTGGATGAACCATATTATAAAAGTAGCTCTAAAACAATTGGCAATTAAAGTTAATAATTCAAAATAATAACATAGAATATATACATAACATAAAAATAATGTATACTAATTACTTGGAATCGGTAATCTATACTTTCAGGACTCCATGCACTAATTAGTCGAGATAATTCTTCATAAGGTGTTAATTGTTGAGCTACAATAATAAAATCGAAAAATTTTAAAAGTTATTTATAAACAATTAGATAAAAAATCTCTATAACGTACTTGTTTGTGATTGTGAGGTAATGGTCGATCCGACCTGATTTAAAGAGCTGGACATCCCAACTAAAGTTAGACGAAACCTTTTTTGCTTGCTGACGAAAGTCGAAACCTGAGCCCCAAATGACGAAACCTCTGCCGAAAGTCG